AAGCCTTATTAAAAACATGAAATTTATGGTAAAATATTCCAAAGCTCCTAAATCACAAGATGTTACCAGAAAACTGTCACAGCAATGTTCTGTCAACCCATATTTTCAGAGGTGGTAGAACCCTGTATAAAGCTGCAAAAATTCATCTGACTTGCGTAGTAGGTGTGCTTTGTCACTTGAAGCAGGGATATAGGGAAGGTGAGCGTCCCTCTGAACAGAGAGTCCTAAGGGGCTAGAACAGAGTTGTTTCTGGAGAAAAAAATTGAGGGAGAACCAAGTTGAGGGAGGAAGCTTATATTGTGGTTTATGATTTATTCGAATTTTACTTTACCCAAGAAGAGCATGAGATTTGAGCTAACTGAGGGTCTTTACATTTTGTTGAGGATGTTGAGACATATTCTGCCCATTTACACTGACATTCTGAAAATTCACTTATTTAAATATTTAATAAAGACAGTCCCAATTATTCTAAAAGTTGCATTTCCTTGGTCAGACAGAGAAGGCCTCAGTGCGTATTCATACCTTTACTAACAATCCTACAAGAAATAAAATATTGAAACATGACCTACTTTGCAGTTCTCCAGATAACGAGGCACTTGTGAAAAACAGTGTATAGTTACTTTCATGTCCCTTCTTACAACCAGAGCATGAGGACAGACTAAAATGCAAAGCCAAATAACAGTCACACTTGATCAGAGGCTTCAGAATCGTAGGCCGTTAAGACTTAATCTAAGGTTATGTATATATTCAAGTAACTGACATGGAAATAAATGTTAAGGTGATTCATTGTGTGATTTGGTTGTTAAGGTACATGACTTAGAGTCAGGTACATGACCAAGAGTCACAACTGTCATGGATTCCATTTTTGGATCTGCTGCTATCATGTCTGATCTTGGACAAGCCACTTAATGTCTCTGTTAACCTGTCTGGGCTTTAGTTTCTCTGTCTGTAGACTGGGGATACTAATAGTAGCTAACCTCACACAGTGCTCTTCTGCTGCTTAAATAATTTAACACTGGGATTCTTCTATGGAAAGTCCTGTATAATTGCAACATGCATTTTATTTTATTGTTCAATTTATTCATTGTACAAAAAATGTGCTCAAAGCAGTTTCTTCTTTACTGAAAGAATGGCCAGCCTACTGAGTGAAAAATGAGGAAAATTGTTTTTGAACATTTTACTTATTCTGAATTGCTTTTCAATTCAGCCATGTCCACACCCCTTTTTGTCCACTTCTCTGCAAGCTCTCAGAAAAATTGGTTTTTGTTTGCTCAGATTTTGAGGAATGGCTGTTTTTCCATTTGAATGACTGTATTCATATGCCAGCAAGGGCATTCACACACTAATGTGGATATTTGCTATTTAGGCCGGAAGTGTCTGCTCTATGTATATAGTGTTTGTCATCCAATCAGGGAAAACAAACAATACCATGTGACTTAGGTGACCAGTCGTAACAATCAACAGTCAATAACTGAAGGGCATCACCACAGCAAATAGTTTGCAAAGAACCTACTGTCTTAAAAACTCACAAGGTATTTGAATACTCACTAATAATGAATATATTATTAAAATCCAATTCTGCACATAAATCATAAACAGATATTGGCTACATTTGTCATGAATTATATTACAAATACTTTATTCACTTATCATATGCAAGGCATTCTAAATAATAAGCAAATACTCACCAGCAACCACACATCACTGAACAAAAACACTGACCCAGGAACCTATCCTTGTAACAAAGCCCGATGCCAACTCTGTCCACATATCTATTCAAGTGACACCATCATAGGGCCTAATCACATCAGCCATACCATCAGGGGCTCGTTCACCTGCACATCTACCAATGTGATATATGCCATCATGTGCCAGCAATGCCCCTCTGCCATGTACATTGGCCAAACCGGACAGTCTCTACGCAAAAGAATTAATGGACACAAATCTGACATCAGGAATCATAATACTCAAAAACCAGTGGGAGAACACTTTAACCTGTCTGGCCATTCTTTGACAGACCTGCGGGTGGCTATCTTAAAACAGAAAAACTTCAAAAACAGACTCCAAGGAGAGACTGCTGAGCTGGAATTGATATGCAAACTAGACACAATCAACTCAGGGCTAAATAGGGATTGGGAATGGCTGAGCCATTACAAACATTGAATCTATCTCCCCTTGTAAGTATTCTCACACTTGCTTCTTATCAAACTGTCTGTACTGGGCTGTCTTGATTATCACTTCAAAAGTTTTTTTTCTCTCTTACTTAATTGGCCTCTCAGAGTTGGTAAGACAACTCCCACCTGTTCATGCTCTCTGTATGTGTGTATATATATCTCCTCAATATATTTCACTCTATATGCATCCGAAGAAGTGGGTTGTAGCCCACGAAATCTTATGCTCTAATAAATTTGTTAGTCTCTAAGGTGCCACAAGTACTCCTGTTATTTTTGCGGATACAGACTAACACGGCTGCTACTCTGAAACCTGTAAATAATATCTGTCATTTTTGATAGATCAGCATATTTCACTATTGGGAGTAGTATCTGGAAGTAAAACCCTAGCAGCTACACTTTACATTTTGATATACATCCTTCTTTCGGTGCAGTATGACAACATTGTTTCCCATCTACAGCTCAATTCGAAATCTGGGATAAAAAGTATGAAAAGCATATTTATGGTGTAGCATAGTACTTGCTGTCACACTGTCTGGACTGGCTCATGACTGTGAGTGCCTACCTCTGGGCAGACTATTAGAAAACAGGGCAGACACTCCAAACTATAATTAGATCTCACCAAGCCAGTGACAAATGTGAACTCCAGTCTTACCTTGGAGTCACAGACAGTCCCCTTAGACTCTCCGGTTTATCTTGCCACCCAGACAAACTGGACTTTGTGATAATGGTCACTCAAACCAAAAATCACACCACATCAGGTTGCTCCCAGTCCCAAAAGACCAGTCACTTTCCCCAGATCAATTGATACTCTAGGTCTTACACCAAAGACGATGCTGGCAACCAATTCTATAGTAAACTAACTAAAGCTTTATTAGCTAAGAAAAGGAAATGAGTTATTGAAACCTTAAAGCAGGTAAAATATATGCACAGGTGAGTCACAGTTCGTAAATTTAAATGGTAGCAGTGATGTAATAAACTGTCAGTTTCCCAAAAGTCTTTTCAGGATACCCAATTTGTCTCTGGGGATCTCCGCTTTGTATCTGGTATACTTCCCTGTAAGAGTCCAAACAGTCCAGAGATGAAGGATCTTTCCTTGAATCCATATTTACAACTTCTTCTCACAGAAAACAAGCTGACAGTGTCAATACCTACATAGGCTTTTCCTTTGATGAAGAGAGTAAGGAATTCATTTTGAGTTTTTGACCTACAAGCATCACACACTATGACCATTTGCTTTGAAATTAGCTCTTTTCTGTTAGAGTTCTTCATTTGCATTCTACAAGCTTCCTTCTCCTTTGATGGGTTATTTAGTTACAGGGGTATACACAATGTAAATGTTTGCTATTACATTATAAGAGGATACATATAAGTAAAACAATGACAGTAACATTCCATTAGTTTTCATTAACTTTAAACACCGAATACACTCTGATACATTTAACACTCACTTTCCTCTATACTAATGCACAAGTGAGTTGGCCTGGGGCTTCAGCCTGAGCTGACACATGGTCTGCCAGTGTCACACTTACTGTACATTCCAAATAAACTGGGAAAAAGTTTTAGTTTGAAACATGCTTTGGAAAATAATGAAGATTTAGTGATACCAAGATGTTTCATGAGTTTGTGTCAGTTTTGCCAAATTGTTTAAGTTGCTGGGTGGGGGACTAAAATTCCAAAAGAGTTGCAACATTTCATTTAGACATTTATGAATAAGTTTCAATTTCTAAAATTTGAAATGACTTTTAATATTAATTCTATTTAATTCCTTGAATTTTATTTTTTTAAATGTAAAAAGAGCTCAACATTTAATTGAATTATTTCATTTTGGGTTGAACAAAACAATTTGTTCAACCTGAAATGATCTTTGCCCCCATTTTTTGGAATTGCTAGTAAACTGAAAATTCAGTTATTCACATAGCTCTAATTCCTAATGCTTTATTGAGTGCAATTTTCAAATGTATAAGTACGGTTGGTACTATTTTTCTAAAGCAGAACACACCTCTGAGTTTAATGATCAGTTATCCAGAATTTTTTTTGCACAATACAGTCTTATATTTTGGAGCAAATCAGAAAATATAGAGGGAGATTTCTAGAGTGGCTCTTTAACACAAATTGTTGATACTGTGTCCCATATTCCCTGACACTATGGTAAATTAGTATCATATGGTCAGCATGTTCAAATTAATATTTGAGTAGTCATAAAACACTGTGCACTGAACACTTTTGATCTATTGACTATTGGACACATTTGTTTCTTGCAAACCCAATGATTGTTCTGGAACATACAAAACTGAGTATTTATTACAATACCAATATGCCTGACTCCAGAATAAATATTGCTGTTAATTAACTTCAGATCATAGAATGATAGAAATGTAGGGATGGAAGGGACTTTGAGAAGTCATCAAGTCCAGCTCCCTGAGCTGAGGCAGGACCCAGTAACCCTGGGTTCTTAAAAACCTC